TGTTTTTATGCTTGTACGGCGAAACAAACGTGAGCTTTGTGACATTTTAATGCATCTTTATTGAAGACATGTTCTGCAAAACTTAATCAGTTTTTCAAGGAATGTGAAAGTTTGAACAGTTGCAGAAATCAAACATGACAAAAGTTTAAGGAATTACATTAAAAAACTCAAGAAACAATTGGTTGTATCAACAAGAACGGAGCCCTGCGGTACACCACAAGAGAGGAAGACATATTTTCAAACATGACAGAAAAAGGTCTAACAAGAGGTGATCCAGATACATCCACATCCTAATTTAAAAAAATCAATAAACTTTTCTCTGTTAGACCAGTGTTTGTAAAGGAGAGAAGACTGCAGTTTGTACACAGCTTGTGCTCTTTTTTTTTCTCCCAAATCTTGGACAAAAGACCCAGCTGTTTGTTTTAGGCTCATCTTTTCACTACCTTGTGAAAACCTAAATAAAACAGCAAAATATCACATTTTGTTTATTTCATTTAAAATAAATGCTCGTTTTCTGCTACAAAACTGATGTTTTAAAGGAATAGTTTACATATTTCAATTTTATGTTTTTATATATACAGTATTATTAAATGTTTTGCAGTTTAAACGTTGAACCTAACAAACCAAGTGAAGTCTTGAAGTTATTTTACATTTTCCTTTTTTATTTAACTTTATTGTTTCTTGTATTTTGGTCCACATTATTGCATTTAAGGGTTCTTTTCTCTTCATTTGTTTACTGTATTGATGTAAATATTGAAATGAAAACTGGAAGTGGAGAAAAATATGTTCACAACTAATTTTATTCAGGCAGTCCTTTTGGTTCCACAACTTCCGGGGTGGGGGTGGGGGGTCCTTCGCTTCTTTTCACTCAGGCATCACAGCGTGGTGCCCCGGGAGGTCCTTAGCGTCACAAATTACTGCACACGTGCGCTGTCAGCAATCATGGCGGACATGCCGATGAGACTCCTTCGGAAAAAAATCCGAAAAAGAAGCGAAAAGACCAAAGAGCGAAAACAGAAGAACAAACTGAGAGAAGAAGAAGAAACCGGTAAGAAAAACGAGCTGAAAAGATTCGGACGCGGCTCAGGTTCGGTTCTGTTCCGGACCAGCACTGACTGGGATATGACCAGGTTCAAATACACCGTATAAACAGTGAATTTAATAACAATTATTAAATCGTATTTTTACTGTAAAACGACTTATTATAAGCCGTTTATTAGTGTTTTTTACAACACTACCTCAACTTTATTAATCAGATCAAACCGGAAGCTCCAGTTAGAGTCCTTTAAAAGTAAAGTTTATGGGATTTGTAAAAGTTTAGACCGCTGAAAGTATGAATAATATGTGGTGAAATCATTAATAAACTGCTGTCTGGTTAAATATATTAAATAACAGCTCAGTCATGTAGTTTATTTTTATTTATTTATTTGTTAAAGTAAAACAAAAAAGACGCAGATTCTAGATCTCCTCTGGTATTCAGGAGCAGTTTGACGAAGACATTTGTATTTATTGTAGAGTAATGAACAGAAACGATGTCTCAGAGCTGTTCTCACCGTGTTCCTGTTCTGCTGCAGTGGGTTCTGATGGACTGGAGGAGGAACCCGTCTGCGTGGAGCCTGAGGAGGACCAGGAGGAACCAGCAGGAGCAGACCAGGCTCCTCTGACCAAACAGAAGAAGAAAAGAAATTTGCCTGATCCAGAAGAACCACCAGGTAAAAGAGATAAAAACATAACCCACCTGCTGCTGGTTCTGGTTCTGAGTTCTGTTCTCGTTTCAGCTGAGAAGAAGACAAAGACTGAGGAGGAGGAGGAGGAGGAGGAGGAAGATCAGCCTGAACTACCGACTGGATTAACAGGTTTCAGTTCTGTTTTAATCTCCAGGATTTAATCTGCCTTCATGTGTTGCTCGCTCATCGTCTTCGTGGTGAGGCGAGTGTCAGCGAAGGCGGACAGAGACACCTGTGGTTCTGTTTGTTAGTGGGTCGCCTGTGACCCGGCTCACTGTCAGAACCGCAGGGACAAGTTAACCTCACCTGGAGAGTGTTTAAAGACCCGGGAATCTGGGCTCGACCCGGTTTGATGGGTTCTGTTGTGTTCCAGGTGCGTTCGAGGACGCGTCCTTCAGTTCCCTGTCGGACCTGGTGAGTGAGAACACCCTGAAGGGCGTGAAGGAGATGGGCTTCGAACAGATGACTGAGATCCAACACAAAACCATCCGACCCCTGCTGGAGGGGAGGTGCGTCCACCTGCCGGGTCAGAACCGACAACGAGACGGTCCCGGCTCCTCTCACTGATGTCTCTGTGCTGTCTCCCTGCAGGGACATCCTGGCTGCAGCCAAAACAGGAAGTGGTAAAACGTTAGCCTTCCTCATCCCGTCCATCGAGCTGATCTACAAGCTGAAGTTCATGCCGAGGAACGGTGAGTTCGTCCCGAGAGACGCCGCTTCTGTCACCCGGGACGTCCCTCTGAACCCGTCTGTCCAACAGGAACCGGGGTGGTGATTCTGTCTCCGACCCGGGAGCTGGCCATGCAGACGTACGGCGTGATGAAGGAGCTGATGACTCACCACGTGCACACGTACGGGCTCATCATGGGGGGCAGCAACCGCTCGGCCGAGGCCCAGAAACTGGCCAAAGGAGTCAACATCGTGGTGGCGACGCCGGGCCGCCTGCTGGACCACCTGCAGGTGAGGCCGGGCTTTTATTTTGGTGGTGTATGGTTAAATCCTCTTTAGTTTGATTGATGTGAGCTTTTATTTTGATGGGGCATGTCTAATTCTGCTTCCTTAATCATTTGTAGTTTGATTGTGATGTGAGCTTTTATTTTGGTAACTTCCTGTGTTGGTGTCCAGAACAGTCCTGGGTTCATGTACAAGAACCTGCAGTGTCTGATCATCGACGAGGCCGACCGGATCTTAGAGGTGGGCTTCGAGGAGGAGCTGAAACAGATCATCAAGCTGCTGCCGAGTACGTAACTGTCAGGAGGTCTGGAGATAAAGAGAGGCCATAACATTTAAAATTATAATAATTTTTAAACTAAAACAACAATTTGGTGCCAGGAAATAAAGATTTAAAACATAAAACATATAAAAGAAACTATTAGTGTGGCATGCTGATGTGTCACGTATTTAACAATGTGTAGTAGGCCCATGTATCTTGTGTTTTAACTGAGTCATGCCATTGTATCATAATTGAGTATGGCAGGAAATTATGCTATATAATCAAAAAAATGTCATGCCATTATGTTATACAATTATTGGGGTATGGCTGGCTGACATAATCTAATTTAAAAATGACATAGTTCATGAGTTAAGGCAAGCATTGTGTCATACAATTTAAAACAATGTCAAGCCGTTACTATAATTAATATCGTTTGGTAGGTCAATGTAGCATAGAATTTAAAAATGTCTTTCCATTGTATCATATAATTAATTAAGTATGGCAGGCTAATATTTCATTTAATGTTAATGTTGGGCCGTTGTATTGTATAATTAATGATGTATGGCAGGCTGAAATGTCATGTAATGTTAATGTTAGGCCGTTGTGTCGTATAATTAATGAAGTATGGCAAGCTGATATGTCATTTAATTTTGATGCGTTAGTCCATTGTATCATATAAATTATCCAGTATGGCAGAGTGATATGTCATTTAATATTGTGTTAGGCTGCTGTATCATGTAAATAATGAAGTATGGCAGGCCTGTTTTATCATATAATTAATTGAGTATGGCATGCTGATATGTCATTTAATGTTAATGTGTTAGACTGTATCATATAATTTATTCAGTTGGCAGGCTGATATGTCATTTAATGTTAGTGTTAGGCCGCTGTATCGTATAATTAATGAGGTATGGCAGACCTATGTGTAAATTTTAAAACATGGCAGACTGTTATAATTAAATGTAGACATTTTTCAGTGTCAAATGTGTTTATTTTCTTCTGTGAACAAACTTCAGGACCTTCTGGTTGTTTTGAGGAGTGGACCGGTGGAGGTTCTGAATATTTGTGTTTGTGTGCAGAGAAGAGGCAGACCATGCTGTTCTCAGCCACTCAGACCCGACGGGTCGAGGACTTGGCTCGGATCTCCCTGAAGAAGGAGCCGCTGTACGTGGGAGTGGACGACAACAAAGACCAGGCTACAGTGGACGGCCTGGAGCAGGTACGGTCTCTGAGGGGTCAGGGCGTGGTTCCTGGTGGGCTGGTTCTGACCCGTGGGTCCGGTTTCAGGGCTACGTGGTGTGTCCGTCAGAGAAACGCTTCCTGCTGCTCTTCACCTTCCTGAAGAAGAACCGTAAGAAGAAGCTGATGGTCTTCTTCTCCTCCTGCATGTCGGTCAAGTTCCACTACGAGCTGCTGAACTACATCGACCTGCCCGTCATGGCCATCCACGTGAGCGCCCCGGACCGGACCGGTTTCAGTCCTGTACGAGACCAGAACCAGCCGGTCTGATTGTTCTTCTGTTTCTGCTTCCAGGGCAAACAGAAGCAGACCAAACGGACCACCACMTTCTTCCAGTTCTGCAACGCCGACTCGGGCATCCTGCTGTGCACGGACGTGGCCGCTCGAGGACTCGACATCCCCGAGGTGGACTGGATCGTCCAGTACGACCCGCCGGACGACCCGAAGGTGGCGAGGAGGGCGGGGCTTCTTCCCGAGGTTAAAAAGCTGGGTTCTGATGGTTTCCCTCTTTGCTCCTCAGGAGTACATCCACAGGGTGGGCCGGACCGCCCGCGGCATCGACGGCAGAGGCCACGCCCTCCTCATCCTGCRGCCTGAAGAGCTGGGCTTCCTGCGTTTCCTCAAACAGGCCAAGGTGAGTCCTGGACCCGTCAGAACCCAGATAACTGTATCCCCCCTACAGCTCAGTCCGGTTTATCTCTGCCTCCCTGTCCTCAGGTCCCTCTGAGCGAGTTCGAGTTYTCCTGGACTAAGATCTCTGACATCCAGTCCCAGGTAAGGATCCTGGCTCAGCTTTTAAGAGGCTTCGTGGTCCGCCTCAGGAACCAGAACTTTCTCTTGTTCCTCAGCTGGAGAAGCTGATCGAGAAGAACTACTACCTGCACAAGTCGGCGCAGGAGGCCTACAAGTCGTACGTGAGGGCGTACGACTCGCACTCGCTCAAACAGATCTACAGCGTCAACACGCTCAACCTCCCCATGGTGGCGCTGTCCTTCGGTTTCAAGGTTCCCCCCTACGTGGACCTGAGTATCCTTCCTTCTGTTGGCAGAAACCAGAGATATATAAAGGCTAGACAAGTCCTAGATATATAAAGGCTAGATAAGTCACAGATACTGTATATAAAGGCTAGACAAGTCATAGTTGTATAAAGGCTAGACAAGTCATAGTTGTATAAAGGCTAGACAAGTCATAGTTGTATAAAGGCTAGACAAGTCATAGTTGTATAAAGGCTAGACAAGTCATAGTTGTATAAAGGCTAGACAAGTCATAGTTGTATAAAGGCTAGACAAG